CCACTCAGAAAATCAACTTCTGTTACTTAATTGCATCCATCTGAATAATTTTAAACCCATCTTTTACTTTTTTTCATGTCCAAGTTCAATAATTGTTATACTTGAAGGCAGCTGCAGAGAAGATTGATGTATCATCTTCCAGCAGCCATCAACTTTCTGAATGTATAAATTGTTCATTCAGGACTCAGTCACAGAGATCAAATAGTCTCTTCACTCGTACCACTGTAGCAGCTTTATCAGTAAGGTAGACACAAATGCGTTCCATAGTTGCCACCATTTTCAGAAAAACAACCTCAAAGCATCAACCAGGATTCATTATTTTTATTTGAATAGATTTCCCAAACACCACAGAGTTTAAGGAATGGTAAAGGGCAGACTGGGGACAGCTTGCGTGGGAATTAAGCAATTACATGTCCTTTGTATTTTTCCCAAGGTAATATAAACAGTGGTTGCTAAAGTTCAAGGAGATGACTTCAGCTATGCAGGTTAAAGGTGTCCTTTTCCACAGAACTACTATCACAACCTGGCTGATAGCCTCTCCACCTTGTAGCACTAGCAAGGGATTTTCTTCTGTGCATAAATTACACTAAATTAACCATCCTTGGCAGGTTGGTGGTAAAATTATATATTTTTAGTGAAGCCAGCAGTTGGAATTTTCAAGGGCATTTTTCTTTTTGCTTCAACAGGAATAGCAGTGAAAGAATGTCTACCCTGAAAAATTCTGCCCTTGCATTTCCATTTTAGCTAGAAACCAAATTGTTTTCAAAAGGTGCAGATCATCAAGAGAGGGAGCCTTTGTTTAGTTTAATTTTGAAGTTATAAAATATAAAACTATGAAACTGCAGTAAAAACATTTCAGCCACTTAAGCAAGGATGCAATATATTACCAAATTTTTCCAGAAGCAATGAAGATTGAAAGCATGGTTTCCTTTTTTTGCCTTTTCTTTTTGTCACAGCAATTAAACTATTCTTTTGTGGAAAAAAAAAGGAAATAAACATATGCATCTCTCTATTTTCAAGGATATGCTTTCATCAACTCAGGTCTAGAGCTATTTAGAAAACAGGAGAAAATACTTATCACTGTTTTAATTTGATTAGTTAAATGTTGCTGGAAAAATCAACACTTCAACATGTGAAACATTTTCATTAATTTTACAATGTCAGTAGGTACTGGTTCCGCAAAAAGTCAGGGGGGGAAGATCTATGCCCAGCAGCCACAATGTATTGGAAAAAATCAGTTCAGTATATCTGTCCCCAAACAGAACCAAATAGAACTGAGTTGCAACCATTAGAGTTGTTGCCTCTTTCCAAATCCAAAGCATGAACTCTCCCGAAAGAGTCCCTTTCCAAAATGCTTCATGCATCAACCATTGAAAAGAAATGAGAAAAAAGGCCTAGCTTTTCAAATGACACAACATTGGCCAACCAGAAAAGCCGAGTCATGAACCATTTGTAAAAAAAAATTGACTTTGGTCATTGCTACAACACACTTGGAAATCCTTGGGTACTCTAGGCCTGTATATATGAATACATATACATGAGTAGAGTTCCTCTTGGGCTTCCCACTTCTTCATCTGCCAGCTGAAATACTTTGAGGTGAGAGGGGAGTTTTGCTAAGGGAGAAAGGTTTACAGATCTGCTATAAAGTTCACAATCACATTTGACCATATTATAACCCAGCAGAATTCACATGTAAGCAAACTTGACATGTTTGCATGAAATCCACTGAGAACCAACTTGGGGGGATTTAAAAAAATAGTGGTATAAAAATAACTAAAAGAAATTCCATTCTATTACAATAAAATACCCAACTTAAGCTAATTATTTAAGCATGCTCTTCAAAAGAAATATAAAAGCTTTAATTAAAATTGTGCACATGAACCAAGACTTAATCAACTACAGTTATCAAATTCAGCTAGTGGTAAGCCACAGCTCTGAAAGGTCCCATTTGGCTGATAAATGCAACATTTTTTAATATATACAATAAAAATAGCAATATCATTTAATGCGAAATGTGAAAAAATTATTGCAACAAAGTGACCCTTGCTCCCAAGCTGAGAGTTTGGCTGTGGTCCTCCACTGGCTGAGACTGTGAGCATGGTCTCTCCAATAGATCTGATTTACATGGTGTGAGTGTGCCTTTTTGTATACAAAATTTCAGCACACAGCAATCTCTGATGGCTGATTACCACCCTCCCTCTCTCCTTCTTTCCTTTATTACTGGGTTTATAATGAAAACGTTGACACTGCCTTAACTATGGCAACATTAGCATTTGCCATTATAATTAACAGATTCTTTTTTTCCCTCTTTGTGATTTACATGCATATATTCTTCCCAGTGCAGCAATTACAGATGGTATAGCTTGTAACATATACCATCCCTGAACAAGAAATACATTCTTTTTGGAGTATGTCTCTGATAAATTTTATTTAAATATAAAAGGTAATAGGCAGAAAATGTAGTTTGCTTACAAGTTTCCTTTATGGTTGTTTGACTGTCACTTTTCTGCAGATTTATGATAATCATCCTTGCAACAAAAACGTTTACTTCACTGTCTAAATAATAAGGTAATTTGTTACAGCTAATTACTCAAGTGCTTCCTTAATCTCAATTAAAAGATTCAGGCTTATTTTCTATATTTCTGCAGCAGTATGCTCCAGAATATCTTGTTAATGTATTCCCAATCACATATTTGTTAAGGAATGCATGGTCCATGCAAAACTGAAATGCTAAAATACATAGCTGCAATCTTAAACAATGATTTATTGTGACATGGGATGTGGGACATTTCCACAGCTTTTGTGATTGCAGTAATGAAGCTGTAAACCAAATAGCATGAAATGAAGCAAGGCCTTACAATTTAATCAGCTCGTAAACAGATCTACTGCATCAAGCAAATGACATTATTATCCATCCGAAGTAAATCATGCTAATCTCAGGAGATAAAATCAACATCATTAATGGTCACATGTCATATTCATCAACACTAAACCATCCCTTTTGACAGATTAATCCTAACTACAGCTCCCACGATGTATGGTAATAGGGCTTGTAGCATACATTTCATTCAGCAGTAAGGCTAACCAGCACTCTTAGTCTGCTATTACAAATAATTTTTTTATTGATTTACATATTTTAAAATGCATTTAAGGTGAGGTACCATTAAAAATCCTGTCACTATCACATATTTCTTCCTCACATTCTCAGCCTTTATTAATAGAAACTAAACAACATTTGCCATATAAATACTTTCTTTAACACACTGTTAGTGGTAATTAAAGAGTTCTGCCTGTGTTTTTCATTCAGCAATGAAAATATTCACCCCTTTTAATAGGGTTTAAAGAATTATTGATACTATTATTCTAATATCTCATTTGTAGTGTACCAACGCATAGGACCCCTAGTCATGGATCAGGGCTCAATCAAGACAAGTAGGATCCTGAAGACTTTATTATCTATTATCCCATCATTAATACAGCATCAAAAACCCAAAGATGCATTTACGATATTATGATATTCACTCTTCATTGCAGTTTAATACGTCCTGCAGACTGGTGGTGTATTTTTGCCCTGACTCCAGTTCCTGCATACTGCCTATTTGTTCCAAACACAAAATATATTTATTTATCATGGAACTGACCCTGTATGAATGCTTTTGAAAAGTGTCCACTATTCAAAGTGTCACTTTCCTTGAACAGGCACTGAATTATATTGACAGGCACATTATCAAGGGCTGCTGACTGACAGAATGAATGACTGCGGCTCTGTGCCGCATTGCCAGTCATTGACTGAGTGGGTGCAAAAATTATCTACAACCTTTGGAGATCTAAAGGACTCTGAACTATGGCTAGAAAAGAAGATATATGCAAGTGATTTACTTGCACAGCATTTATCAACTTAGTACAAACATCTCAACTATTGCCCAAACTACTTCACTAATGTAGAAATTCATTAATGGTCTATTCTCTTTCCTGAAACTATTTTTTTAACATCCCTTTTATGCAATTATTAATGTCACATTATTTAATACATGTTTATCTTTCACCAGGGAAATGGTTGGTGGTAATAATTTTAAAAGCAACCACTGCCCCCTGCATTTTTTTTAGGCCAATGTGGGTTAAGATGCATCTTAGTAAAGTTATTAGAGCAAAGCAAAAACAATATCAGAGACTGCCTGTGGCTGATGTGTAGCAATCAGTAAGTCTGGTTAAGAGAGAAGGCAGAATGCTTCCTGGACTGTGCTGGGGTTTTAGGAAAACACTAAACTAACCATAAAAGCATTTCATTTACATGCCAAAATAATTTATTCACCAGATGTATTTTTGATATTTTTGATTGACATAATGGCAGCTTGAAGTAGACCACAAAATTCTACCTTATCTATTGACTAGAAAAAAAGGGGTAATAAAATATTTCAATAGTGCATTAATTTCAAAACCTCAAAGCACTAATGTCAAATTTACTGGAATCCACTGACCTTTAAACAGCTTTTAAAGATTTTATGACTTAGATTGTCACATTACTTACCAAGAATCCTTAAGAAGCAGTTTTTTCCATCTATGGTGTGTTTTTAATGTTGAGCTTGTGAAGACCTTCCCTTTTCTCTCACTATCCCTTTTACTCTCACTGCTTCCATTCTTGAACCTCTACCTAATTACTTAATCTTTGACAAGTTGCAGATATCTGTGGTGCCTATCAGTGATTGTGGTTAGAGGACTAAAAGAATCACTGATGAGGAGGAACAAAAACCCCCATCTTTCTTACAGGATTTTTGTGCTATTGCATACCGTAGTGAGGGGAAGGTGTCATTGAGCTAGTACTCCTCCAGAACTGTGTCCTGGTACCTCCCAGATGTGCCTGCTCTTCAAAGGTTTACTAGTAAAGCCAAGATGAAAGCAATCTGTATTTTAAGGCGTATGGTTTAGGTAAACAAAAGAAACAAACCTGTTTCTCAAGCAGTACAAGAAAAACTGGCAACAGGATTTCCTGGTGGTATAAGCGCATATGAAGTAGAAATTTTGCCAGCACAGTTATGATTCTAGAAGACAATATAGTCTCAACAGAGCTGTGAGACCAAAATTTTCCTGTGTACACCAAGTCCTAGGAAGAGATATCACAAGCAAAAATAATTATGTGCTGAATAGAAAAGGGATGGATTGTCTCACTTCAATCTGCAAGAAAAGAAGGAACAAAACCATACAGCGGGCAAAGACAGCAAGGGTGCCTCTAACAGCTCACTTAGGTGCATTTCAGGAGTAGGGACTTGGATCACCATTGAAAGGTTAAGGATAGTCCCATTGGACTAGCAGATAGTTAAGAGAAAAAAAGGTATTAATTTTATTCTTAGTATTTGGTTCTTCCAGTTTAGTAAATATATGAAAAAACCTTCCTTGAAAATTTTGTAGAAGGTATTTAGCAGTAATACTCACATAGTGAGTTTAAAATACCACATGATCTTAAGTATTTTTTATCAGACTGTAGCTGACATACCATTAACTAATGATATAATTACGGAGACCTTGTTAATCCATTTGTTTCATTTTAGAGACACAGAGGTAATAGGAATATATGCTTGTTTTTCACTTTCTTGACTCTGGATTTTAAAGTCTCCTTTCAAAGTCTTCTGCCTCCTACAACATTGTCAGAGATAAATCATGCAAGCATAGGGATACTTACAGTTACTTTAAGGCTCAGTAAAGACAAGATAGAACAAAACTCAGATTTCTGTACTCTTATACAACTTTTGATGTAAGGTTAGTTAATTTGAATTTTTTTGTTTTAGAAAAATCACTTGGAAAAGGCCTACCTGTGCTCCTTTGTTCTCCTCCTTCTTTAACTCTCTTCTGAATGCCATTTCCTATACCAGAGGAAAAAACCAGTTTATTATTGCATCTTCATACACACACAGGATTATGAAAGCATGTTGATCCATTTCTTAGCTGTTGACAGTGGAGTTGGAAAACTCTGGCAACACTTTTTTGTACTGTTTGTGTTTGGATTTTAAAAGGGTCTTACAAACTTGAAAAGACTGATTGGCTTCAATGGATTAGCCATATCTATCTTAAAAACACTTTTGAACTTATATGCACATTCCAAAAAGCAATCATCAAAACAACATCTTTATAATATAAAAAATAATTATTTATATGTGTGATGCATGCTCCTTCAGCAGCCCAGTTAATTTTCAGTTTTATGTAATACTCAGAGGGAACTTGAGTGTTCAAGGTCTGCATTCTTAACTGAATCCCAGTGGGAAGATCAGATAGCATCTGGCCTTTGTGAATCAACACAGAGTGCCTGCTGAGAAGGAAAGTGTAGTCCTCTGTTCCCGTTTACTTATGAACAGCCACAATATAAATAGTGACCAGAATTACTTCCTCCTGGCTTCACCTGCAGCAGGTAATGCAGTGGCTTTGGCTTGTTAGTCTTTCAAGCAATCTAGTGAGCTAGGCAAACACAAAAGTGTTGATTCATTAACTGCCATCTCAGCTCTTGGGAGTCCTTGGAAAACAATGCCTGAGTCACTAGTGTTAATTCATCACAAAGTTCCTGAGGTAGGGCATCTCCTCTGTATCCCTTCCCATCCCCTGCCATGGAGGAATTCCACCTCTGTGGAAAGATCTAGCCTGCAACCCAACCAAAACCAGCTCAGTCTGCCTTGCAGATGCCAGCGTGTTCAACTTCGGTTAAAGAAGTTCTGTTGTAAATAGAAAACATTTTGACTAAAAGCTGTCAAATTGCAGCAAGTAGCATAGTCACCAGGCTTTATTCAATGTCATTTTGTAGAGGGAAAGAAAAAAGCCTTCAAGGAGATCATATGAGTCATGGGATTGGGTTTCCAGAGGGCTCTTAGGGATTCTTTTTGACCAAGAGTTTTCTAACACTGTTAGAGCAGGGGCTGTGTGAAACTCAGCAATTTTGACTGTCATGCTATTTTTCAGTTCCAGCTTTCATCACTTTGTGCCTTTTGGGTCTAACTTTGCCTCCACTTAAGTGGTTGTCAATGTAGAATAAATCACATGAAGAATACTTAGGGCCATGTTCTGTGCCCAGCCCACATAATAGAGGAAGGAATGAAATCCTCAGAAATAAAGGGGTATACTCTCTCTTCAGTATGACCACTAAAATTCTGGAGAACAAACTGTTACACTGAAGATGAGAAATACTTGTTTTCTCTAGCATGTACTAGATTGAAATCTGACAGGACTCACAGACTTCTGAAAAAAATCTCTGTCTTTTGAGCACAATGCATGAGTAGAACAGATTAATAAAGAATGCATTGCACAATGCATGAGTAGCTGCAGTACAAATTAATATATTATGATGGGTTTAGGAGACAGAGGGGTGTCCAGAGCTGGACCTGGAACAGTCAAGCCAGTGATTCATGGCTTTTAGTAGTGAGGCCAATGATTCTTGAATTCCAGCCTCTGTAACCATGCCTTGCCATTCATTCTTCAAATGCAAAATATTGCAGATATTCTTTCTCTAAGAGACACATGCTAAAGGACATTGGGACTCCTTAACAAACTGGAAAGTTAAGCACTTCTTTACGTTTTAGGGCAGCAGATACACTGGGATCTTAAAATACATTTTTTTAAAGATAAAAAGAATCTTGCATAGGAAGCTCATGTAAGTGTGAAGACTCTAGAGAGCAGCCAGTTTCACTGTAGGGAAAGCTTATTTTGTTATTATTAGCAGCCTGAGGTGTGCTGATAATTTTACTCCTGGTATTTTGCCATTTCTTAACAAGTATTGCCACAAAATGACTCATGAAAAGCAGTTTTTGAATGAAGCTCGGACATTTTGGCACAGATTCCAACTCTGATCATAGGGAAACCATTTACTTTTCCAATTACGTGGTCAAGGCACAACCCAAAGTACTGTAGAGTCTTCTCTTTTCATGTTAACCTAGTAGGAATGGCCAACTAATAAACAGAAGAAAGTGAGTGTTTGGTGAACTTTATAGTCAGAAACTGTACACACAAGTCTTCAGGCCATCAATTTCCATTCATTATAAGCATGCTGCTCTTGAAGACCTTTCTTGGAATCAGTTTTCAGAAGTGTATTTCAACAGCATACTACAGATGCAAACATTTTAACTCCTCTTTTCAATAGTTATCTTTAAAAGTAACATGTAACTGACCTTCCAGCTCCCATCCTTCACCTGGTGGTGGTTTAAATCAACTCTATAGAGGAAATCAATCTGATGTGAAGTTGAGCTAGACCTTTGCTAGACAAATCTCATTAAAACAGAAGCTCAAACAAACACAAGGCTTTGTCACCTACACACTTGTTCTTCAGATCTAATCCACACAAGGGTCTGTCGACCATGAATCCTTCGCTTCTGTGGTAACTGAGAGTGATCTCCCTCACACTTTTTAACTTCAAAACATTGCTTTCATCCCTGCTTTCCCCCTTGATTGTTCTCTCCCTCTGGTTGCAGAAATCATCTCAGTAACTCTTACTCAACACTGGAAAGCATTCCAGCACTTCACAGATCCACACATCCGTTACTGTTTACAGGACTGTATCCCACAGCTAGGCAGTACTGGGCTGATCCTCAAGTCACAAAAGAAGAGATTTTGCCATAGACAATAATGAGCATATTTTGCAGGAAATTTTCTATTACATCCAGGTGTATTTTTTTATTAAAGGTATTTTTCACTTAATCTAAATAACAGGCATCAGTATCCAATGGATATATTCTTTCTAGCTTTGCTCAGTGCAAAAAGCTTTTTCATACTATACTTTTGGTTCAAGTCCACAAAATTAAGTGGGGCAGTTAAAACAAGGCAAATAATGTACCTGATTTACCAGATTTTATTTACATTATTATATAGCTATTAGATGTAATATTGTCTGCTCCTGTCACTCTCTGCAACGTGTTTGATGATTCAGGGAATAAATAAAAGCCAGGGTTAGCAAATAAATGAGAGCAGAATTGGCAGCACACCAAGTCTGCTTTATTTGACTGAGAGAGAGATGTGTTACATGGCCTGTTTGTTTAAATTATGCCAAGAGCTGAGATACACCAGGTGTTGTAGGCCATGGAATAGAGCCCTTAAAATGTTTGCAAAAACCAGATTTCTGTTTACTGGTTTGCCAGAATACAAACCCAGAAAGTTTACACTGAGAAGTGGAAAGAACAGGACTTTGTTATACCAATTTGCTATTATTTTTTATTAATAAAAGTTACAGAAATGTCTCATATGTGCTAATTATCCACTCTCCCTGTGTGTCTGTCTTTACACTGGAATATATAGTATATGTAATTTTGTAAAATTATTTTAGTAACTATCTCAGCAATTCTGAAATACTGTAAGACAATTCTTTAATACAGATCAAGCCATACTGCCTTTAGTCAACTAAACACCCCTTAAGTTCAGTAAATGGGAGATGGATCTGAGAGATTTAATCTGCCAGTTTTTCACCCCACTGCCTCTTCCATCAGAAAAAGCCAGACAAAGTGGGTTAAAACAAAGGAATTCCTGACCAGTTCTTTCAGGATGGGTACAGAAAAACGGTGTCACAAAGAGACCTCAGTAAGGAAGATCTAGCACAAACTACACTTAGAAATTGTTACATTTTCCTTGAATGCATCTGCTGAAGATGCATTCAAAGATTCACAGCAGAGATGACTGGACTGATACTTTTGTGCTGCTCTCCACAGCATCCTGCAAAGCAAGCAGAGTGGGGCAGATGAGGGATCCTCACCCACTTCATTGCAAAGTCTGCCAAGGCAGTTCAACCTACCATAGAAGATTTCTTGAAGTAATCCACTTAACTTGGCAGTGCTCTGGGCCAATAACCTTTGGCAAAGGAAGAGGTTAAGCCAGCAGGAGTTTTGTCTTAAGCTAGTAAAGCAATTTTTTGCAGTGAATGTCAGACCACAGCCTGAATCAGGTTCAAAACTTACAGAGAGAGAGAGGGGTGGGGGAAGAAAGAAAGGGGGAGGGGAGGAGTGGACAACGAGGACAGGGGGAGAGAGAAGCAGAGAGTCCTCATTATCCCTTTAACTCTGTGATCAGTTACCAGCACTCTGAGAAAAAATTATCTGTCTACCAACAAAATAAAGGCTAATGCATGTGAGCCTTCTTTAAGTTTCACCCAGTCATTCTTGTGTTTTAGTGATTTTCTTCCCTGCCTTGAATAGAGAAAAATTACTTTTTAAAAACCAACTGCAGCAGCAGTGACATGAGTTATCTTCCCACCAAAGTGCATTGTCTTGGATTCAGTTATCTCTGAGACTACAGGTTTTTTTGGGTAGTGGTTATAACTTACAACTGCCTGGAGAGCTTTTATTTTCTAATTCAAACATCTTGATGGACAAAACATTCCTACTGACTCTCTCTGGAACCCTCTCCCTTGATGCTTGACAAAGCCCGAATTTCAGCATGCACAGAACACACTGCAAGTCTGCTTAACCTTACTGTGCATTTAGCAAGAGGATATTGGGATAGTACCAGAGAAATGCTGAGAGGTTTGTGTTAACATAATGAAGAAGATAATAATGCCGTGCTTACAAGGAAGCACGTACTTCTGTGTGCTGTTTAGTGTGGCTGAGTTGGAATAAAAAAAAAAGAAAGGAGATTGCTAGGATAAATTCCTAATTCCAACAAAGTTTGACATAAAACTCAGCTGAATGTAGTGAAAACAGCATTTTGTCTCTGTTTTTTCTGTTCTGGAGTTTATCTGTTAATATAGGTCATCAGTTCCCAGTCTGTAGAAGAGATAGAGATTACAGTTGTACAAAGAAATACACACATTTTTTAACATAACTTTTCTCAAAAGTTTTTTGACAAGAAAGTGCAGAATCCACTCATTTTTCCATTAAGATGAGCACAAGTATTAAAACAC